GGTCGTGTCCCATGTGGTCTAGTGGTTAGGATTCGTGGTTTTCACCCACGCGGCCCGGGTTCGATTCCCGGCATGGGAAGAAGTTTTGCATTGATGTGCTCAAGTAATGCCTTTCAGGGGGGTTGCCCATGGATTGACAATCGTGCAGGGTCGCGGTGCTCAAGAGGAATCTCAGTGCATTGTTTTGCAGAGAGTACGTCTCTGAATGAGGTCGCGTCCCATGTGGTCTAGTGGTTAGGATTCGTGGTTTTCTCCGACGCTGCCATTGATCGATTCCTGGCGGGTTCTTGAGTCTCAAGCGTTCAATACATTTTGAAGAGAAGTCTCCACCTTATTTTAAATACCTATTTTGGATTTTTTTGGGACAAAGGACGAATGTGTATGTGTGACGAATGTTTGACCAAGAACCGTTTCGGCGAATACTTTTGACCGCTACTGTGCATTTCTTTTTATTAGGTTGGAGCATAATGTCGTAGCGCTTGCATTCGGCGGAAATGTTTAACTCAAAACGTGAAACCAAAGCATAGCATAATATTAGTTGGTGGTGCTTTCGACGTCATTATTCACCACTTTGGTTCCATTTCGCAGAAAATCACCGCAATTAGAGTGAAAAATTGTCTGAGACCGCTTTTTGGAGTACTCTTTCGTCTCAACGTGAACGTGGTTGGAAATTGAGGGTCGGTTGGAGTGAAGTTCGATGAGTAGGATAGCTTGCGGACAACTGCTGTTTTTGCATCTTTCTTCTTTGTGAGTATTTGCCGTCTTGATGTTCCAAATTTTGAGCACCATATTTTAGTAGCCTTGCAACACTGAGAAAAACAAGGTATTGTAGAGCGGAAGTGTTTTCGAACAATATTTATCGTTCCTCGGGTTTTACTTGTATTCATCAATTTTGTAGGCTAAAATATTAAGGTGTCGCAAAAGTTTTGAGAAAATTTTTGTCATGAATTTCGCAACCATTTTGCGCAAGAAAGCGCCGAAGCAGAGCCACGAAAAAAAACGGCAGGAAAAGGGCACTCTTGGTAGATCGTCGAAACAATAGAACGGTATTGCACTTCATCTTTGGAAGTGAGTTGTCATCATTTGAATTATGACCGACCGACACGACTACGGGC